AAATATGTTACAGCATTGTTCCGTCGACTAGTGGGCCCACTGCGTAGCTTTGCCGAGCGAAGTCGTCGCACGTCGAATCTTACGAATCTTGACGATTAATATTACCATTTAAAATGGGCGCGCGACAATCAGCGCCCTAAAGCGATTAGTAGCGCCCTAATGCGATGAGGCGCGCGGGTCGAGACACGCGAGTCTTTTTTGTCGACACACAGCGACGTGGCGATGGCGATACCGGTCAGAACACGTTCGTCCTTCGAGCCGTATAGACTGTCGAAGTAGCGATTATAAAAACAGCGATATAAGAGGCCGAGTCCTCTATTAAGGTGCGATAAGAGGCCGAGTCCTCTATTAAGGTACGATCGGAGGCCGAGTCCTCAAACTCTTCATCTAAATAAAATCGAGAATCGAAACTAGTGTGTAGAATTAATCTTCCCCGCACGCAACATTTTGGTGCCTCCTGTGAGGTCTGTACGGCCCGACTAATCATCACGGTCATTGACAGAGCTGCAGATTTCAAGGGACTCGTGCGAGGACGTGGTAACTGGAACCTCGACGACAATACGAGAAAAATCTACGCCACGACAGACGGGCTCAAGGCAAGTACATTCCACGTATAGTCGAGACTATCGATTGAGCGGTCCATTCCTTCACTTCCTCTTCCTTTCATTAATCGGCATGGCTGATCGAATTAAGCTTCTCATACAGAAGCGAACTTCATTAAAGGCTCAGATTACGAGCCTTACTAATCTTCTTGAAAAGGAACAGTACGATAAATCCGTGTTAAAGCTACGTATGGCCAGCGTGACGGAATTGTACTATGCATACGAAGAATTTAACGACGAGTTAATTTTGCTAGATCCAAACAGTAGTCACAAGGATGAATTCGGGAATGTTCAAGAAAGATATTATTCACTCATCGGCAAAATCAACGAAATAACGAACCCCTCAACTTCCAACGAAATAACGAACCCGTCAACTTCCAGCGCGAATAACGAAATCTTGATCAACACTACCGAATCACATTCCAATGTCTCCGCGAACGCGACAATCGTGAAACGACGAATAAAATTACCTGAAGCTTCTCTTCCGCAATTTGATGGCCAATACGAAAATTGGTTGTCATTCAAGAACGCCTTTGTCGCCATGATCGACTCACAGATCGATTTATCAGATACCGAAAAATTCCAGTACTTGAAATCGGCCTTGAAGGGTGAGGCGGCGAATAAAATAAAGATTTTATCGATTGACGGTTCCAATTACAAGAAAGCATGGGAATTATTGACACGCGCATATGAAGTTAAGCGAATATTAGTCTCACGCCATCTTTCATTGCTATTAAATATGCCTATTGTAGAACGGGAATCAACGGAAGAGTTATCGAAATTAGCCGACGACGCCCAGCAACACGTCGCATCTTTAGCCGCGTTGGGCGTCAATGTAGGTTCGGAGATTCTCGTAAACTTCTTAGAAAGTCGATTACCCAGACGAGTGGCCGAAAAATGGGAAGAATCATTGACTCGAGACGAATTCCCCAAAATAGACGAACTATACGAATTTCTATATAGAACCGCGGTACGCCTCTCAAAACGCGTTCGAACAAGTAGGACAAAAAAAGAGGAAGATACTCCCCCCCCTCCGACAAAAAGGGGACGAGTAGCGTCGACCAAAACATTCGCGACCCTCACCACAAACAATTGCGCGGCGTGTAAAGGCAAACCACATCCTCTGTTCAAATGTAACAGCTTTAGGCAATTAAGTGTGCCTAAACGTATCGAGCTTGTAAAGAACGCAATGCTTTGCTATAACTGTATGCGTTCACATCGGGGCAAGCCGTGTAATTATACAAATTGCACTATCTGCCAAAAAAAACACAATACGCTCTTACATTTGAATAAATACCCAAATACATCCGCGCAAACCGAGACAACGGATATTAAAACAACACCAGATAAATGACTAACAGAATGTCACGGCGAGAAATCGACGTGTCTTGCTACGATCACGCCGGCTTTCGCACCACAACTAATGACAACTGCTGCGATTACTGTGCGAGATTATAAACATAATTTAATTAGATGTCGCGCTTTATTAGATACCTGTGCTTCTGCCAATTTTATTTCGGTAGATTTTGCGAAACGTTTGAAGTTGCCGTTGCTTCCATGTGCAATATCGATCGGCGCTATTAATTCAATAAACACTCTCTCGGAAAGTGCCGTTCAGGTCACAATTCAATCGACATGTAGCGAATATCGTAAAGATTTATTTTGTTTAACAATAGCGGCGATAGCCGATTTAGTGCCTTCAGAGATTTTTCCGCGAGAGTCTATAAGGATTCCGTCCAACGTTAAACTTGCCGATCCGGAATTTCATCTTCCGCGGCCGATTGACGTACTGATAGGTGCCGGCGCGACGCTGTCTTTGTTCTCGATCGGACAAATCAACCTATCACATGACAATTATGATTTACATTTGCAAAAAACGCGTCTCGGCTGGGTTGTCGCGGGCGGGTCGCCGGCACAAGCACATCCAAGCCGTGCGACGTGTCGATTGACGACTTTGGAACAACAAATCGCGGAATTTTGGCGGGTCGAAGAAGTAGCCGTCGACGCGTCGAGATCCAATGAGGAACGCGAATGTGAGGCTCATTTTGTGAAATATGTCACTCGTGACCAAAGTGGTCGTTATACAGTACGATTACCCTTTCGCATGGCCGATAGGCGTTTGGGAGACTCGCGTGCCGTAGCGCTTAAACGCTTAAATTCCCTCGAACGTAAACTTAACAACGATACAGCAATGAAAATTGCCTACTCTCGCGTGATCCAAGAATATTTAGACTTAAACCATATGTCGGCAATTGATGAACCTTTCGACGATGGGTTTTACTTGCCACATCTCGCGGTAATTAAGGCTCAAGTAATACTACCAAGGTTCGGGTAGTGTTTGATGCATCGGCAAAATCAAGTAACGGCGTGTCGTTAAACGATTTACTAATGGTAGGGCCGACCATCCAAGACACACTGTTTTTACATTTGATTCGTTTTCGGATTTACAGATTCGTGATTACTGCCGATATAGAGAAAATGTATCGGCAGATTTCATTACATGAGGAAGATCGAATGTATCAGCGCCTATTCTGGCGTCAAGACGATCAATTAAAAACCTACCACCTCAATACTCTAACGTTCGGGATGTCTTCTTCGCCTTATCTCGCCATCCGAACCATACAAAAACTCGCCGAAGATGAACGTGCTACATACCCTACCGCTGCGGAAATTCTTAAAAATCACTTGTATGTAGATGACTTGTTGACAGGCGCGAATACTATAGAAGATACTCGCCTTCTACGGGATGAAATAATTGCGTTGCTCGCGCGGGGAGGCTTTAACATTCGAAAATGGGCGTCAAATGACCAGCGGGTCCTGAACGATCTACACCCTGACACCGTGAATTCGAATCTCAGTTTTGATAAGGACAATGCGTTGAAAACGCTAGGAGTAACGTGGAATGCGTATAGTGATAAATTGCGTTATTCGACACGTTCCATTGATCTTTCTAAAGGAATTACGAAACGGGTTATTTTTTCCGAAATCGCGAAAATCTTTGACCCTCTAGGCATCTTGGGTCCAGTTATTCTATACGCGAAAAAATTAATGCAAAATTTGTGGCAATGTAAGGTGGAGTGGGATGAATCCGTTCCGCCAAATATACATAGAACATGGACAGAATTCATATCTCAATTAAACATGATTAACGCATTGTCCATTGATCGACCGGTTTTAATTGTTGATTATACCAACGTACAAATTCATGGATTTTGTGACGCAAGTAAGACGGGTTACGGTGCGTGCCTATACCTTCGTTCGAGTAACAGACGCAACGAGGTGCATTGTCGTTTACTATGCGCGAAATCCCGAGTCGCGCCGTTAAAAACGTTAACCATACCGCGCCTTGAGCTGTGCGGCGCCCTCTTATTAACCAAATTATATTGCGAAGTTTATCCCATGTTGAACCTCTCTTTCAATGAAACCGTGTTGTGGTGTGATTCGGAGGTCGTACTCTATTGGATCAAGACGCCATCTCATTTGTTAAAACCATACGTATCTAACCGTGTTGTTCAAATTCAGGACAAAACTGCGCGAGTCGGCGGCACGTCCGTTCGGCCGACAATCCAGCCGACGCTCTATCTAGAGGACAGCTCCCGAACGCTTTACTGACAAATCAGAGTTGGTTTTTCGGTCCTTCTTGGCTAAGTCGAGGGCAACATGAGTGGCCCAAGGAAACAGTAAATTTACGCGAAATACCTGAATTAAGGAAAAATACATGTCTAAAGACGATCTTGGTAGATAACAGTTTTTTCGAGAGATATTCGTTATACACGCGATTGATAAGAATTATGGCTCTATGTTTACGTTTCCGTCCAAAAAATATTTACCACGGTCAATTATCCGCAAGGGAAATAGAAGAAACCGAGATCCGTATAATAAACATCATGCAGAGATCCTGTTATTCAGATACGTGGAACGAACTATCAACCAAACGTTCGGGAATCAAAGGGAAGCTTGCCTCGTTAGATCCTTTTCTTGACAAAAACGGTTTAATCCGCGTGGGCGGGCGCTTGAAAATGTCGCAATTGAGTTTCGCACAAAAACATCCGATTCTTCTTCCAAGCCGGCATTTTTTAACAGATCTTTTGATCAGGGAAACTCACGAAAAGTACTATCATGCCGGAATTCAGACAACCTTATATACACTTAGACGCAAATTTTGGATTACCGACGGGCGAAATCAGGTGCGCAAGGTGATACGCTCGTGTATGCGTTGCTTTCGTTTTAAGGCTAATTCGGCACAATATAAAATGGGCGACCTCCCAGAATGCAGAGTGCGTGATGCGATTCCCTTCACTCACACCGGCATCGATTTTTGTGGCCCATTCCATGTTAAGGAAAAAAAAACATAGAAATCGTAACAGAATTAAGGTATACGTATGCGTGTTCGTATGCATGGCGATAAAGGCGGTTCATTTAGAAGTAGTGAGTGATTTAACCACTGATGGATTCTTAGCGGCGATGCGGCGCTTCATATCGAGACGAGGCATCCCAAAACACGTTTATTCCGATAACGGAACGAATTTTAAGGGGGCAAGCAATCAGCTCCGAGAGCTATACGCTCTATTTAATTCCGAGGAATACAAGAAGCGAACGAACAAGTTTTCGGTCGAGCATTACATCGCGTGGCATTTCATACCTCCCGTGGCTCCTCATTTCGGGGGATTATGGGAGTCTACGGTTAAACTTTTCAAACACCATTTTACACGCGTTGTTGGAGATCTTTTATTTACCTTTTAGGAACTTAACACCTTTGTCGTAGAAGTTGAGGGAATTTTAAATTCCAGACCGATTTCTTCGCTCTCATCCGATCCTAATGATCCCCTAGTCCTAACACCGGCTCACTGCTTAATCGGTAGACCCTTGATTGATATGCCTGAGCCTAATCTGTCATCTGTCCCAGCAAACCGCTTGACCGTGTGGCAACACATCACCAAGGTCCGCCAAGATTTTTGGACCCGTTGGAGTCTGGAGTATCTTAATGAACTACAAGTCCGTCACAAATGGAAAAAGGACGGAAAGGGAATCACTATCGGATCGATCGTCCTTATCAAGGAGAAAGGCCTTCCATGCAAACAATGGGCGCTAGGTCGAGTTCAAGAAATCCATCCCGGCCAAGATGAGATAGTGCGAGTGGCGGTCGTGAAAACTGCAACAGGGACTATGAGGCGATCCGTAAAATCTCTATGTCCACTCCCCATGGAGCAAGAGCACGGTACCGATGCCGATAAAACGTAAACGATCTTACCGATGTAAGATAGAAAAGGCGTAAACCCATTGTACCAATGATTGTAATACTTCGAACCATTGTTGATCAGTACCCTCTCAACGGGGGGAGAATATGTTCCGTCGACTAGTGGGCCCACTGCGTAGCTTTGCCGAGCGAAGTCATCGCACGTCGAATCTTACGAATCTTGACGATTAATATTACCATTTAAAATGGGCGCGCGAAAATCAGCGCCCTAAAGCGATTAGTAGCGCCCTAATACGATGAGGCGCGCGGGTCGAGACACGCGAGTCTTTTTTGTCGACACACAGCGACGTGGCGATACCGGTCAGAACACGTTCGTCCTTCGAGCCGTATAGACTGTCGAAGTAGCGATTATAAAAACAGCGATATAAGAGGCCGAGTCCTCTATTAAGGTGCGATAAGAGGCCGAGTCCTCTATTAAGGTACGATCGGAGGCCGAGTCCTCAAACTCTTCATCTAAATAAAATCGAGAATCGAAACTAGTGTGTGGAATTAATCTTCCCCGCACGCAACAAGCATTGTCATCATAACTACTGTATTGCTCATTCTTTATATCTTTGTCATTAAAATATTCTTCGATTATGTTTACATCTTCCGCAAGTAAATTATTGTCCTCATCTTCATCATATTCTGGAGTGATACTGCTAGTATTGATAACATTTCCTATCACCTTAGTAAGTGTACTCGGTTGATTAATAAGAGCCTCTGTTTCTGGACATGGTAAATATGCAGAATAGGTCACACCTCACCGATTTCCTCGCCACTTAGGTATGTTGTAGGGGAGAGTTTTCTGAGTAATTCCCCGCAAGAATCAAGTGGGGGACGGCATTGGTTTAGGAGATATAACAAATTGAAAACTGAAATTTTTAATACGTTTTTTGGTAAATATTTAGATAAGGTCAACCAAATGAACTTGATCTTGACATATGTTGTCAAGATCATGACCCTGAGTGACCTTCAAGAAGTTTTTGCCATCGGTCGGTGTTTATTAAAAAGTTATAAACAAAAATGTTTAACCACTAAAATATAATTTTCTGACATCCTATGTACAATAAATGCTTTTATTTACCTTCAGTATTGAACGCAGGTAAAGAAAGAGCAAGGGCGGGGGGAGGGCAAAACTAATTCCGTGGGTAGGGTTATTTTTAACGACGTGGAGCCCCCCCCGAAGGGGGCGGAACACACTGTCTTCACACATACATTTTTTCTATCTACATTTGGTGGAGGGGAGTGACTTATATGTGGGTAGAAAAATGTATGCGTGGAGACAGTATGTTCCGCCCCCCCCCTTCGGGGGGGCTCCACTTCGTTACAAATAACCCTACCCACCCTATGTCAGAGGTGTGGAGTGGATCTCGCTTCACGTGGAAAGTTGCAAACCCATGTGGAACAGTACAATGGTGGAAGTACATGCGTGGAGACAGTATGTTCCGCCCCCCCTTCGGGGGGGGCTCCACTTCGTTAAAATATAACCATACCCAAACCATGTCTGAGGTGTAGAGTGGATCTCGCTTGCTCGGTCAGTCTGCGCCGCGAGATGAATTAAGGATGCTTTACACATACAATCCCAGCCAAAAGAACGCTAATCTAAGAAATCTCGATTATAACAACTGTGTGAATGCTGAAAAAATCCGTAAGCATAGAATATCATCAAACAGATATTATTACACCTTGTATAATGTTTTTTGACCATTTTTAGTCGCTAATATTGCATAATTAGCGATATTTATGACTTCCAACGAGAAACTTTTGGCTGGGATTCTGTCATGATTTCAACTGTTAAAAACGAAAAATTCGCAAATATTACTCCAGTTTTAGGGATCTGGCGATTCTTCAAAGTGGTTGATAAGAGTCGGTAGAAGTAAGAAATCGAAAAAAGTTCAAGAATTACTTGCTAAATGCTTGAAAATGATTAAAAATAGTGATAGCCAGAGACGATAAAACGTGGCAACACCGCACTTTCTATAGCGTTGGTAGCTCTGGATGCTGTTCTCCGTGCAGAGATGCAAACTTTGGGTTCCGAGCACCATCAAAGTGTTACACTCGGTGCTCACTCACATAAGCGCAACCGTGTTCGTGTGCTGCGCATCAGAGACTCTGCGCAGCACACGAACACGGTTGCGCTTATGTGAGTGAGCACCGAGTGTAACACTTTGATGGTACTCGGAACCCAAAGTTTGCACTCCGCGCCGCGCGCCGCGATACTTCGCCCAGGTTACACAAGAGTGTAAAATGTCGACGTACAATAAATTTCGTTATAAGGGCAAATTAGTGTCAGAATCGCGGTACAAATGGCTAAAGAAGTTATCGGAAAGTGGGAAGAAAAGAAAAAAGTTACGATCCCCGAGTAACCCGAAAGTATCCGAAAGTAAGTCCGAGCAAAATTTGTATCAGACAGAAAAAGTCGATTCTAACCTGTCGTCTGGAGAGGCAACAAATATTGCCGACGATACAGAGTCAGTTTCGATCATCGAAAACGTCGACACAATGGACAATGTCTTAGATTCAAAGACTATGGACGGACGGCGAATCGTAGAAGTTTCAGTACTTGGTAAACAATTGTGGTGTACTTTTTGCAAAGAAGCACTGTCACTGGAATATACTGAAAACGAGATTCGTCGAGGTCTAGGTTCAATATTATTAGTGCGCTGCCACAAATGCTTGATACTAAATACAGTTACTACGGGCAAGCAACATACATCGCCCGATGGACGTACCAATCGATTCGATGTCAATACAAAAATTGTGCTCGGTAAGTATTTGTAAGCTATTTTGATACACTACAATTAATTGAGATACAAATAATATCTATTTCTGATATTTTTATATATTTAGGTTTCCTGAGTGCTGGGGTAGGATGGACGCATTTAAATAAAATTCTTGGGTGCCTCAACATTCCAACCATCTGCTTTAGTACGTACAAGAGGTACGAAGATGAAGTGGGACACTTGATAGAAAAACATGCTAAAGAAAGCTGTGTGAAAGCTGCAGGAATAGAACGAGAACTTACGATGCGAGATGTGGCAGAGATTGAAAAACTATTGTAAGAATTATTTCACTTTGAAACAATGTGAAAAATTAATGGGTGCAAAAAACAGAAATCCTGAGAATATTTTTCATATCATCTTAAATAAAAAAAATATATTGCACTCTCAGAAGGACAATCTAATAATGAAGTGAAGTGAAGTAGTAGAAGTGTGATATAGCCTTGTGTTAGTACTACAAACGATTTATGAAGTTTATATTGCATAAATGAATTGTATATACTATGATGGATGGAATAACTTACGAAGCTATGTTATCATGAAAAATAAAGTCACTTATTTAGTTTTTTTTTAACAAACCGTTGTGATTTTATAGAATTCTTAACGATTCTTTTATTGGAATAAATTGATAAATTAAAATGAAGGAAGTCAATAGAATTTGCTTTTAAAATATATAGACCATATGTAATAATGTATATATAATAATCACCATATGTCAATAATGTATTAAAAAACTTGAAAATAAATCATTTTGGTTCCGTTTTTATCGTAATCACTGGTTATTAATTTGATATTATTTTGTTTGGTATGTGCAGGCCGGAAAATTTGAAGAAAGATTTTATCATGCCTGGACAATTGTCTGGTACAGAAAGTTCACAGATTTCTTCTAGTCAGGAAACGTTAACGGCGACAGCGGAGTTACAAGAAAAGATTACTGATGAGCCTGAAGAAGTAATAACATTCGATGACGTTGTTCGCATCATGGTTTCTTACGATATGGGTAGAAGAGGAACAGGGCGAAGTTATGATAGTCTGAATGGATTCGGCGCCCTCATAGGGTTAAAGACGGGCCTAATATTGGATTAAGTGCAAGCGGTGCGACATGGGACAAGATCCGAGAAACCATGACTGCCGAAGAAATTTCTGGGGGTCAGCTAAAGCTATGGAGCCGCATGTCGCCAAAAATCTGGTGAATTCGAGCGAAGTTTTAAAATCGCAGAATCTTCAGGTTGGCGTATTAATTGGAGACGACGACAGTTCGACGATAGCAGCTTGCCGTTCGACTAGCTCTCATCCCATCGTAAAATTTTCCGATAAAAACCATGCATCGGGAGGTGTTACGAAAGAATTATACAAAATTGCAAATAATCGCAAACACCGGGAATTGACTAAAGATGGAATCATGTACCTGCATCGTTGTTTCACGTATGCTATGTCTACGAATAAAGGCGACAGTGAAGGTATGGCTAAAACTATCCGATGCATACCATACCATGCCTTCAATGACCATAATCAATGTGGTGACTGGTGTGGATACCTGAGTGATCCTGAAAACTATGACCATAGTATGATTCCAGGAGGTTTTCATGACCAGGAACTATTCAAGCACCTCAAAGATTTGTTTGATCGCTTAGCGTCAAACTCTCAAAAGTTTTCTCCAGGAGCTTCAAGCAATGCGAATGAAAGCTTGCATGCCAGCATGGCGAGCGTCGCTCCAAAATCAAGATGCTACAGCTTGACTGCTTCATCCGATTATCGTTTTGCATTGACTGTTGGCCATAAGAATGAAGGCCCGCAATTCATGCAAAATGTTTTGAAGAGTGCAGGTTTGTCGCCTGGAAAACACTTTTCAAAACACATAGCGAAAACGCAGCGTGTACTCCAACGTAGGCGGATTCTAACAAAAGCTCCAGAGTATAAGAAGAGACGCTTAGCTCTAAAGAAGTTGAGAACGGCTCTCAGACATCGAAAAGAGAACGTTGAAGGAATCACGTACCAAAGTAATTGTACTCTGCTCGATAAGCCTGAAGAGGATCGCAACAATAAGACGGTTCAACACACAAGCTCTGACGAAGAAAATAACGACGAATCAAATCCGCTGATAGTTCTACTGGATCTGGAAACATCGGGCCTCAACCGAGATTGTGATATTTTGCAGATAGCTGCTAAATGTGGCAGAGCGTCGTTTTCCACGTATATAAATCCAAAAAAGCAAATATCTGCTGCAGTTACAGAGGCCAATGGTCTCACGAATTTCCAAGGAGTTCTCTTATATCATGGATTAGCAGTCAAATCTGTAACTCTTAGGCTAGCCATGAGTGAGCTGCACCTATGGTTGTCCGCGAGAAGTACACCTCCTTATATCGCCACGCATAATCTAAGCTTTGATGGTTCGAGATTCCACGACGCTATAGTCTCTTGCAATTTGCAAGAGGAGTTTCAGCAAGTCGTCCGTGGCTTTATCGATACATTAACAGTTATTCGAAAGGTCACTGAACGAAAGAAGAAGGGCGAATGTAGCATCTCAGGGTTAGCAAACTGGCTCAACATTCCTACCGAGGGTGCACATAATGCTGAGAATGATGTAAGAATCTTACAAAAAATTCTTCGATCAGCAAAAATAACCCACCAAAATCTTATTGACAGTGCTAAAACGTGGGATGAACAGACAGGTATATGGATCAGAGACAGGGACGCGAACCGTTTTTTGAGTAATCTAGCCCCTCTGAAAGGTATTGTCGGTGACACAATTCGCAAAAAGTTAGCTTATGCTTCAATAACAATCGATTCTCTGCAACAAATATTTCACGACTCTGGCATTCCAGGCATCGTACAAATTCTTACTGAGAAGATTAATGGTAAACCTAGAGTTACGAGTCACAAGCCCTCAGTTGAAAAAATAACTAAATGGGTTGAACAGAATTTGAATCTCAACTCTCGAGAAACTCCCTCCTCTGCATGACTTTGTTGCTATAAGTTTTATATTATACTACCATTGTTCAATATTCTTTGTTCGTGTATTCAGCTCTTTTAATTTCAACATTTTCGAAAAAGAATTATTATTATTAATGTTAATGAATAAAAATTATATTTATAATAATTTTTTAGTACGGTTTGCCAATATCCGCCCGCCCGAGAACAGTAGGCGAATTTCTTCGAGACGGCGAAATTCAAACAGCGCGCCATACGGCGTGCAGTGCAACGTTGCCACGTCTCAGCAGTCAGATGGCAGAAAAACCACGAAGTAGCCTAATTTTCTCCACTTTTTCGTGCATTTCTCGAGAACGAGCCAGACAATCACGCTGCATTTTCTTGTGGAGATTTCTTAATCTGTATTCTACACACTAGATTTTTTTCAGAATTTTATCTTTGTTAGTTCTATGAGTTTATCGTCCACATTTACTGCAATGTTCCTATTTCCATATAAGAACGCATGTTAAACTTTAAACAGCTATAACTTCTAAACGAGCCAGACAATCGAGTTGAAATTTAGACGTGTTCTCGGGATAATAAAAGCTATGATCTCTGAAAATTTCAGAATTTTTCTTGTATTTTGACATAAGTGACATATGTCCTTCAAACAGCTATAACTTCTAAACTAGCCAGACAATTGAGTTGAAATTTTGCAAGTGTTTTAGGAATGATAAAAGCTACGACCTCTGAAAATTTCAGAATTTTCGTTGTATTTTGACATGAGTGGTATGCATCCTTAAGCGTGCGCGCGCGCGCGTGTGTGTGTGTGTGTTCAACCCGTACCAATTGGTGCGGGAGGGGGCAGGTGTGACCTTGTAAATGAAAACGGTAGTTTATTTATGATTTTAAAGGTAGCTACACAGGCATTTTAATAAAAATTACTAAGAAAAAGTATTAAAATTTTTAGTTTTCAATTTGTTATATCTCCTAAACCAATGCCGTCCCCCACTTGATTCTTGCGGGGAATTACTCAGAAAACTCTCCCCTACAACATACCTATATAAGTGGCGAGGAAATCGGTGAGGTGTGACCTATTCTGTATATTTACCCTGGACATTGTACATTGGCTTTGTCACTCGCTTGAATATATCCCGTGGAAAGTATGTGTCTGATAGAAAGTCGTACCATTCTTGCGGTCGGATTAGGATTAAATCTTCCGCGTTGTCGAAGTTTGGAAAATAAATGCTCCACTGAGTCTTGATTGCATAATCCTGTTGCTAGTTCAAATGCTTCATTTTTACTTATAAATGCTTTATAAAGTGCAAGAATAGCCTTTATACTTATAACCAGGCCTTTGAAACAAGGTACTTGATTTATTGCTTGTGCTGACTTTGACCATCTTGAGCACCCTTCCACAAATTTTGTTAATAAAATTTCAAGATCTGAATTTTTAGAGGATAATGGTCTTTTTCCACCAAATTTCACATTCAGACTATAAGAATTGCAAGCATCAATAATATTATTCATGTGTTCCGCAAAATCCGCTGTAGCATGCCATGTACTTGTAGTTAATTCTCGTTCATAGCCGGCTGTTTTTATTGCGGCTGCAAAAGTATGACTAAATAATTGGAATGCTCTTTTCACATTCATAGCTTCAAAACTATTCGGACGAATGTGCGCTTCTGTAATGTGGGATAATAAATTAGAGCCTCCTTTTGTGGAATTATCGATGGCCCATGTTGTTTCAAAATCGGTGTATGATGCGATTACTTTTCCATCGCAATAAATATTTCCATGCGTCCTAAGGAAGCTTGCCAATCTTTTTACTAAATGCGGGAAATCAAAGGAAGCGTAATAGTTTTTGTCTTTATGTATGAAAAATGGTTGTGTCGAATTAACACCGAGTTGAGCATAAGCACTCTGATTACATGTGCCTTGGTCACATGTTACAAGTTGCACATCAGCACCTGTTTCGCTCAATTTATCTAAACATTCTTTTAATAATATAATTATATTATCCGCTTTCATACATTTTCCTGGAAGAAAATATGCTATAGGTTGACGCCATGGATGCCGTGCATTTAAACTGTCTAGGCAGAATACAAATACACATTTCGCTTTCTCTGATGTTCTACCTCGAGGTCCGAGATCAGCAAGGCCTTCTATTTCATCCAGTTTGGATGAATATTCCTCATATGATTTAATAGTCATTTCATCCCATTTTAATGCGCACACTCTTTCCTCCATTGGCAACTGGTTTATTTTTTTTTCAATTTATAAAATATAAAATCACAGAATTCTGACCTTATGTCATATTCTTCTAGCCATCTTCGTATTGTTCGCTGTCCAGGAAGATTGCAACCTGCTTTCCGTAAACGACAAAATCCAGAAGCTGAATAATAATAAAGTTGTCTCGATAAATTTTTTTCTTCTGTGTATCTTGCTCTTGGTGTATGCAACTGTAAATTTATCATAGTTTTTGCCACAGGATGTAATTCTTGTTTGTCTATCAGTTTTTTCAGCGCCTCTTTCTTTTGTTGTTTTCCTTTTGGCTTTTTGAGTGTACGTCTAATACGTAGCCGATATCTTAGACTTTTTAAATGTTTTCGCAAACGAGCATTTTCACGCTTCAGATTATTAATTGTAATCTGTAAATTGTTCTGTGTTGTTTTTTTACTTTTTCTTTATCAAATAAAGTAGGACTTTTTATCTGGATCGGGATGTCAATTCTTTCAGATTCGGGTGGCTCTATACACACCCACTCCATTATATCATCCTCCTCAGAAATATCAAAATGTAATTTTGACGGTTGATATGTTCGAAGTGGTAATCGTTCTGCTGGTTGCTCGTCCATCAGAATATTAGGATCCGTTGCAGAAG